GTTTGAGAATTTAAAGAAACTGAAAAGTTAACTTCCTTAATTATAGGAGTTAAAAATAAGGAAGAAAAAATAATCCCACATCTCCTTAATTAATGCTGGTTGGTTGCACATGGTTTTAAAAAAAAAACTATAAAAAGTCGTTATATTCCTTTAGGCTATTACGTGCTTCTTCTTTTTTTGGACTATTAATTGCTAATTAATATTGGGCTATATGTTGCCAATTGTATATAGTAGTTGTATGTCTGTGTCAATTCCTCAATTTTATTCATGGATTTCTTATTATTTTCTCAAACAAGTCACCTTTGACAATGGAATTTTGTATGTGGAACAACTTTTAACCTCAAAATAGGATTAGCTTCGTTATCACTTATCACAAAATAGGATAATTGGAGTGAGGAGAGGATTAGTGGTCGAACTCCTTATTAAAGATTTTTTCATATTCAAAAAATTGATCTTCCATTGGACCACATTATTTAGCCATATTTTTTATATTGAGAAATCCGATCATCCACATCACATAATTAAACTTATTCCTCTACCACATAGTAGTGACCCAAGGGTCCTATAGCAATGGTACCATAGAGTATATATAGCCATATAAAAGCCAACTACTTTAATGGAATTTACTGCGCAAACAAAAAGGGGCCACATAGGAAAAAATAATCCCACCTACCGGATTAAAAATAATTTCATATTGTCTCACTAGTTAATAATTTTATACTAGATTTTTATTCAAATACATCTATACATAATTTTTGCGATTAGATACGCTGAAAATAGGGAGAGGAGAGGGAGAACGGGAGGGAGGCGAGCGAGATTTATCTATGTATCTCAGAAAGACAAAAACATACAAATCTCATTAGATACATGTATCTGGGATATCATATACGCGAGCGAGATAGGAAAGTGGCAAGCGAAATAGGAGGGAGGTGAGCGAGAGTTGTTTATATATCATAGATACATGTGAATTCACTTAGATACAGTATATCTAGAACAAGTTATACCTAATTTTGACTTATGTATTCAAGATACATGTATCTGGACACACCAGATACATGTATCTAAAGTCTAAAATCTGATAAGATTTGTAATATTACATGCATGTATCTAAGTAATTAGCTTCTCAATTAGTGAGATTTCGATAAGTTACTCGTGAAAATCAATAGAAAAGTTACACACAAATTGATATAAAAGATGCTAGGTCTGTTTATTTTAAGGGCAAACATGAAGAAAAATAAGAAGACAGCATTGATGAACCAATAGATTTTAGTTAAATTCAACTCATTAATTATTTGACAAAAAAATAAAAAAAATGTTTACTTTTGATAAGTTTAGAAGATGAAAATTGCTCAAAGCATATTTAGGAGACTAATTTTGAACTTGCCCCTGAATGTAAGAGATCATTTTTTTGTTATTTTCTTATACGGTCAAACTTTAATATAAAGTAAATACTTGATATACCTCTTAATTTTGTCATTTAAAGTTGTTATTATCCCTCGTTATAAAAGTGACTTATATATATTCATACAATTACAAAAGTAAAAAAATTAATTTTAAACTCATTTTTTTAATTTTTTAGAAAATCTTGTATTTAATTTATCACATATAAATTATTTTTTGACTTCTTTAATTATTCTTATTTTAATTATTCTTTCATCATTTAGTTTAAAATTTAAGAGAAATAAAAAGAAAGAAATGTGAATGGAAAAAGATTAAAAAGTTTTTAAAAAATTAAAATTAATTTTTTTTTGGATATATATATTGTAATTTAGTTTTTATATCTGTAAAAATATATTTGGGGCATCTATAATAAATTTTACAAGAAAATAAGTGAAAAATAAATTTGATCATCAAAATAATAAATTCAAATAGCATAAAAAAATGTAAGAGAAAAACCAAATACCCCTTATATGGATTATCTTTCTTTTTAATTAAAAAAAATAAAAAGTAAATTTAAAATTATTATTTTCACTTTCATTAGAGGAAAATGGTATATGTGAGTCATTTGTGTACCAATAGGAGTATATGATCACATTCATAACGAGAGATATATCAGCTCTAAATAACAAAGTTGTATATTAGGTCCTTTTCCCTTATTATAAAGCATTTAATAATTTTTCCGTACGAAAAGAAAGAAAGTATTTGTTAACTAATTTAATCAAGTAAAATTATTATAGTATGAACGTAAAAAAAATGCAAACACCAGTAATCTTTCCTCGTTAACTATGATTAATGACTAATAGACATCATGTAAATACAATTTCTTTTTCCTTTTAAATATTTATATTTAAAATTATCGTGTGCATCACATTAATAATAATTATAATAAATATTTTAATATAAAATATTATTATACAATATTTGAGTATGAAAATCATGGCCGTTAGTTGTTGGTGTACTATATATATAGGGTGTGTGTTGAGTGCATGAAATCATGATTTTTTATTGTTCAAAAAATCTTTTATACTAAAATGATTAGGATGTGTTAAGATGACATGTGAATTCCAGTATCGATTTTTCTTTTAATTATCTTTTGTATATACATACACTCGTTAACAAATTATTCTTTATCTATATAAATTCAACCGATCTAACATACACCTCAAGTTAATCTTTTTACTAGTGATACGTTTTGTATAAAAAATGACATTCATAACATTCAAATTATGAATCCACATCTAAAATAAAAATCGAGTCACGAAGAAAAATTAAGGAAGAGAAAGGAAAAAGAGGGATAGAGAAGAGAAGAGCGAAAGACTCCCTCCGGCAAAAATATCTTTGTCAGTATATTTTTTTGGTTCCATTTTTTATGAGTTAGTTTGATTTGACACAACATTTAAGAAAGAAAGATTTTTGAAACTTTTGCGGTCTAAAATAAGTGAGAGATATTTGTGTGACAATAAATTATTTCATTAAAGGTAAAATGAGTATTTAAAAGTTAAAAATTGTTTGTTAATATAAAAATCTGTCATTCTTTTTTAGATTGACTAAGAAATAAAGTGAGTCATATAAATTGAGACAGAAAAAGTAAAAAGGAAGATAAATTTAAAACCAGACACTTTGGAAGATGCCAGACATCATTTCTTGATATTTAAGGGGTTATTTTTTATTTATACATACTTTTAGAAAACCCTCATGCCTTCTCTGGAGACAGAGATCTTACTGCTACCTCCGAGTCTGACAATTTAGTTTTCTAGGTAAGTTTGAGTCTATTTTCAAATTGATGTGATTTCCATTGTAACATTCATATAGTTTATCAACTATATTGCACCTATAAAAACAGCAACTTTAATGGAATTTAGTACACAAGACAAACAAGGGAGCCACATAGGAAAAAATATTAAGTTTGAATAGGGGTCCACATTCTGTCAAAAATTAAGTACTCTTGTCCCTAATGACTCGTTCACTTTTGAATTGACACATTTATTAAGAAAATAATTATTGACATAATAAGTTTATCATTTTACCTCTATTAATTATAAAGTGGATGGATTAAAAATTTAAGATTTTTAAGAAATTCTACCTTTTTCAAAGTAATTAATTGAGAGTATAGTAAGTAAAATTATTTTGTCCTTTCTTGATTTGTCAAAATGGACAAGTAATTATGGACAAGTATGAAAGGAAAAGTGGACAAGTAATTAAGGAGTTGATTTGTCAAATTGGATAAGTAATTAGGGACAACTATGAAAGGAAAAGTGAACAAATAATTAAGGAGAGGGAGGGAGTATTATTTTTGTCATTAATTATTGTTGACAAAGATAAAAAAAGCATATTTAGGAGACTAATTTTGAATTTGCCCCTAAATGTAAGAGATCATTTTTTGTTAATTTTTAATACATTCAAACTCTATTTTATAATGATATTTCATAATTTTTCTCTTCAAAAAAGAAGGAAAGTATTTGTTAATCAATTTAATCAAGAAAAATCCTTAAAGTACGAATGTAAAAATAAAGATAGACACCACTGGTCTTTTCCTTGTCAACTATGATTATTGACATCATGTAAATACAATTTTTTCCTTTTAGATATTTGTATACTGAAATTTACCGTATGCATGACATTTTGATGATTTTGAGGAAACAATAACACTCTTGAATTTGACACAAATTATTAATTTCGTCCTCAAATGACAGCCGTAAAAACACCTTTGATGCACTTCCGATATGCCACATGACATAGAAAGTGGTCTCAAACTCTTGTAGGAGCATGTAATTCTTAATAAAAACCGAGAAAAGTGTTGAAAACACCTCTAAACTTGACGAGAATTTAAGGGTGTATTTCACTAATGTTACAAGATCGAGGATGTATCATGCTGTTAGTTGTTGGTGTGCTATATATATAGAAGGGGTGGGGGGTGGGGGGTTGTGGAGTGGATGAAAGAAAAATGGCAGTAGGAAATGGTGGTGATGTATGGAAAGCCCATGGTGCAATGGTTTTGGTACAACTTGTCATTGGTGTTTACCATGTGATTACTAAGGTGGCTCTGGATTTGGGCATAAATGAAATTGTCTTCTGTTTGTATAGAGATCTTATTGCTATATCTATTCTTGCCCCAATTGCCTATTTCCATGAAAAGTTAGTTCTTTTATCTCTTTACATATATTCCTTCCCCTTTTTGTTGTTTGCCTTAAATCTGCAATATTTTTAGGTGAAGATGAGGTGTATTGGAGTATCGGGAAAACATAATCAATGTAAGTTACAATATTTCGAAAAGTAAGTTACAATATTTGGAATTATATGAGCATCACTCACAAATGTATATATGTTTTATGTTTCTCTATGTATAGGAGGTCGATGTCTCCTCTGAATAAACGGCTAGTACTGTCATTCTTCATTTTAGGATTAACTGGGTAAGTTTCGATGTCCAAAGCATGTATATTTGGATTTGTTTTGTTAATTTTCTTAGTTTTGTTATACTTGATAAAAGCCTATTCATGAAAATGCCTTTTGGTATTCTGACAGTATTTTCGGTAACCAACTATTGTTTCTTGTTGGTCTTGGCTACACAAATCCGACTTATGCTGCTGCTTTTCAACCTTCAATACCAGTCTTCACGTTCATACTTGCTGTACCCACGGGGTCAGTAAACATTCAAATCCCTTCATCTCTTGATTTTGGTTTATATGGTGCTGTTTTCGAAACATTTGAGGTGAAAGAGTGTTTCTGTTTGTGCCAAAAACAACTTAGGTGCTCCTTTATTTATTGCAACTGCCAAACCCCCTAGTGATATTGTCTGTTCTGGTCCTAGAGCCCCATGGCTTTAAAACGCGCAACTAGAGTGTAAGGCCTGCTTACTTATACACCCAACATCTCTTCTGTGTCAATGTATAATTATCTGAAGTAGTGAAGTGGATCACAGAGAACATGGGCCAGTCCATTGTGCATTTCTAGTAGACCTTCTCAACATCATTCATATTGTGTTATTTATGCAGTACAGAAACTACAAAACTTCTTACTGTGGAAGGTCAGACAAAAGTTGGAGGTACCATCGTTTGTGTTTCTGGGGCTTTTCTAATGGTTGTATTCCGTGGTCCAATGGTGTTTGGAGACGGCATATCAGATTTCACAGCACAAATTGAGATAAGTGCTAAGGGTCAATCAGAGCCTGCTGGATGGCTACTATCTAGTTTTCTGGTACTTGATAATTGGCACCTCGGCGTTTTATGCTTAATAATGAACTGTATGTGTGTGGCAGCATACTTAGCTCTTCAGGTAATCATTAATTTGGATAGACTTGATTGGAATAAATAGCAGACCGTTCTCAACGATTATACTGAAAGGCTATGCACGAAAACAAACTGATATGAAATGTATCTGAGTAAAGAATTTTTTGCAGGCTCCAGTTTTGAGAGAATACCCGGCAAGCATATCATTGACAGCATATTCTTACTCTTTTGGCGTTGTATTAATGATAGGGACATCATTCTTTATGACCAATGGATCAACAAGTTGGTATTTGACACCATCTGAAGTTGTGGCTGTGTGCTATGCTGTAAGTCCCAATCTTCATTTTCGTTGATGCATGAAATGAGTAGAAAATAGTTTCGTCATAATGGTTAGTGTCTTTCAGGGAATTGTTACATCAGGGCTGAACTACGGACTTATGACATGGTGCAATAAGGTTATTGGCCCTGCTTTAGTTTCTCTATACAGTCCGCTTCAAGCTGTTGCAACAGCAATTTTGTCTAGTATTTTTCTTGGAAGCGATGTTTATCTGGGAAGGTTAGTGCTTCTGACTTGCTTTCTTTTTTTAGATTGGTTATGATCTTTCATTTTTACATTCCATCTTCTAATTATTCATTGCAGCATTTTGGGAGGAGTTCTCATTATAGCTGGGCTTTATTTAGTAACTTGGGCATCTTACAGAGAGATGCAGCCAGCCAAGGGAACTGTTCTGACGGATCCCCTAATTCCATATGAGATCATAGGACACATTTCCTCTGTTCCTTCTTCTTCTTCGATGCCAAAGATCAATGACTAGATATTGCTACAGATATCATTTGCATCTTCTTTATTATATATATAAGTTCACTGCTAAACAGAATGACAGATATGTATCAAGTTATTCTACCAAAACATGTTTTAAGTATGAAAGTTTTGTAGTCATCATTGATATTCCTTCACAAGAGAATCTGAGTAACAAAACAAGAAAAACATATATAGTTGCAATCTATGATAGGCAGTTGCATAGTAACAGATCCTCAAAATGGTCATTCCACCGTCACTCGATTACAGAGGGTTAAAACTCTCTCTGAAAGCTAGCCCTGTTGATACGATGATAAAATGGCTAGTCTATCAACTTGACATTTGGGATATTGTTTCTTCAAATAATAAGATAACACAATTTTCAGTGCGATTTACTTAATCCGTTTTTGATAATATAGGTGAATTTACATCTCAAGTATTTAATAATTATTGTATGTCAAATGGATAGCAACTGAACATCTTATTGCTCATGTTCATATTAAAAATGGTCTAGAAGATTTATTTATCAAACATCTCCGATTAATTGCTAGACCATTGCTTGAGAACAAAATTTTTCATCTTATATTAATTATATTATTTACTCGCAAAATTGTTTATTTATTTTTAAATGTGAACTGTAACAATAAAGTTTTATGACATAAAATCATCATTTAACATTTATATTAGTTATTATAGTACCAAATTATTAAGATAAATAACGATATCTATGAAACTGATGAACAACATACTCAAAGGTTTTATTTATGCTATAGTTCATGGACTTCTTTTCACATTTAGTTAAGTGTTCCTGTTGTTCAAAAAAAGCTTTTACTCAAATGATTAAAATTTGTTCGAATAACGTAGGAATTGCAGTATTGATTTTTTTAATTATTTTTTTTGTATTATATACCCTTTAATGAATTATTATTTTATAACTGAATAATATAAATTGAACTAATCTAACGTACACCTCAAGTTAATTTTCTTGCTTGCAGTAGATTTATAATAAAGTTGATATTTATAATATTTAAATTCTAAATTCGTCTCTGAAATAATAATTGGATCATAAAGGAAAATGAAGGAAAGAGAGACACAAGAAGAAGAAAAGCCAGAGGTAACTTAGTTCATTGAAAAAAAAAGATACAATCAATACACTACTAGAATATAATAAAAATACAACTAATAATATAACGGCAAAAACATCTTTGCTTATATGCATAAAAATGTAATATAGAAAAAAAAGAATAAAAAATTAAGACCAAACACTTTGAAAGATATTAGACGTCATTTCTTGATATTTAGCTAGCGTTTGGTCATAGATTTCTAAATATTTTTGGCAAATATTATTTGGGTGAAAATTTGGGTGAAATTTCATCATGTGTTTGGCCATAGTATTTGGGAAACATATTTGACTTTTTAAGAAAAATGTGATTTATACCCATAAGTTTTAAAAACTATCAAAACTAACCATAAGTTTGTATTAGAAGCCAATGGATCTTCATTGCAACAAATAACTAGTGTCCATGACATTGGAGCAATGCGATAGTTTAGACTTTAGAGTGAGTGCAACAAACATCATTCCATACATCGTGAAGTAGACAAAGAACATGACTTTGTTACCCTGGGCCAATTGTTCATCATTTTCATCAACAACCATATCATCACTTTCATATTCACTGAATATTTCATAACTACTTTGGTGTTCACGTAAAAAAAATATGTAATACAACGCAAATAACTACTATAGAGGGTGTTTTTGTAAAATATAAAAGTTTGGTATAAAATTTAAATTTTTAAAAGATCCCAAATAATGAGATTTGGTCCAAATACTAAAAAAAACTAGTATTTGAAAATTTGGGATATTTGCCAAATAATGACAAATTGTATGAAACTATTTGCCAAATTTCCCCCCAAATATTACTTGGGAAATCTATGGCCAAACGGGCCCTAGGGATTGCTTTTATACTTATCCCTAAACATAAGGAACATCGCAAATTCTTGTACGTTCGATTTTGATTTGACATAGAGCTTTTAAATTAAAAAATTAAAGATACGGAAAAAAAAAGTTCTAAAAAAGAATTTCTTCCTGAAAAAGTAACCTATAAAACTCCATCAACAAACTTCTCTTGTTTGGCCTTTTGCCAATTTCAGAGAAGGAGAAGACAAATACAACTTTTGTATGTGGGAAAGCTTTTAACCTCAAATTCATTGAAAGATGTTCCAATTTTTTTTTGTCCAAAAGGTTCATCAATGTTTGGTGATCAAAAATTCAAAGACACAAATTCTGTAGAACAACTTGAGGTTCATACAAAAAAGTTCACTCCTTTTGTCTGATTCTTGTTTTCTTTAGATTTTAAAATCAAGATTCACCTTACCCATTATTAAACTTGGTGGACTATATGTATGGGGGTGGGTGTGGAGTGGATGAAGTGAACAAAATGGCAGCAGTTGCAGTTGGAAATGGGGGTGAGATATGGAAAGCCCATGGTGCAATGGTTTTGGTACAGCTTTTCAATGGTGGTTACCATGTGATTACTAAGGTGGCTCTCAATGTGGGCATGAATGAAATTGTCTTCTGTTTGTATAGAGATCTTATTGCTATAGCTATTCTTGCCCCAATTGCCTATTTCCGTGAAAAGTTAGTTCTTTTGTCTTTACATATATTCCCCTTTTTACATGTTTCTTTTAAATTTTCCATCCAAGTAGTGTATTAGTCTCTCTATCTCTGTGGAGAAAATACCTGATTCCTTCTTCTTTGTAAACAAGGAGTGGTCATAGGCACTTTGTGAGTATCCTGCACTAGTCAATGCAGTTGTAAGCTTAATGTTGCGTTGTCTTGAAGCCTGCTTCGACCCATACGATGACATAACTGGCCTACAAACTTTCTTTCCCCCCTGTTTGTGGAAACTGGAAACCTTGTGGCAAACTCATATAGACTTCCTCAGATAAATTATCATGTAAGGCATTGGACAATTGAATTGATGTACATGTAAATCATGAATAGCTGCTCCTCTCTGTGGAGGATCCCCCACCTTCCTTTTTCTCTTTATTCTTTTTGTGGTCACATAGCAGAGATATATTTATCTATGCAAAAACAGGCACCCTCTAGCATACAGTGCTAGACAGAATACCAACATTTAACACAAGCTCACAATCTTATGACATATGAACCTGTCTCACCAATACCATCAGAATCACTTTGCCTACTCTTTCGTGGCTTCTTTTTGGAATTCAATGTAGAAGAAGTAGTTTACCTTGGATTACTGTTGGGCGCGTCCAGTAAAGACCAAGCAACATGGAACCCAGTGATTATAAAAAGTTGCAGGTTGGCAGAAGATATACTTTTCGATAAGGGGTAGAAAGTGTTGATTAGGAGCACATTTTTTAACATTCCCACATACTATGTCAATGCTACAGTCACCAACTAACTAACTGGAGAATCGAAAAGACTCTATGTAATGGAACTTCTTATGGGACTCAACAAATGGAGATAGGAAGTTTTACTTAGGTTGGGAGATTGTCACATCCCCAAAGAGTTGGGGAGCCTTGGGTGAAGTTTTCCTTGTTTTGAACAATACTCTTTTAGGAAAGTGGATGTCGAGGTTGCGAATCAAGAAGCACCACCTCTCTGGAGGGATGTGATAATGGAAAAATATGGGACCGAGGAAGGAGGTTGGAGGACTAAAAACATTAAAATTTCATTGAAGTGCAAACTTTGGAGGAATATTATGAAGGAGTTGGAGGAGTTCAATGTCAACATAACATTTCAAGATTGAAGATGAAGCAGAATCGGTTTTTGAGATCACGGGTAGGACAGCAAAAAAACACATAAAAGGAGATGCTAGTACAACATCTTCCGAGTTCAGTAGAGGGGAATTCATTGGAACCTAGGTTCAAGAGAAACCTAGGATTGGGAGCTCGCTGGATTTCAAGTCTACTTGAAATGATCTACAAGCAAAATACATCACATGTTGGCCAAGATATATAAGTGGGAGAGGGGATAGATGAATTGTTCATGGTTAAGTCTTAAACCATAAGCTTTTGGTAAGGAACTAGTCGGGTTTCCGCTACTTACGGCTTGAATTCCTAGGGCGTCAAGGAAAATAAGCTTCTTTACATGGTTTGCATCAAGGGAGGGATCTTAACAGCTGAAATTTTGAGAAATACATCAACTCGTATTCTTGCAGAAATTCGGGCAGAGACATAGATCACCTACTCTTGTTCTGCAAGGTAGAAACTCTCTTATGTGGGAGATCTTGAAAAGTTTCGGATTACAGTTGATATGATACTAGGCATAATGAAGAAGGCATTATTCAACTAGTTCTTTAAAGGGAGGAGAAGACGAAGGGCGTGTGATGTGGCTCCATTAGGACTAATGTGGGTCATGTGCAAGGAAAGAAATATGAGAGCCTTCAAGGGGATAGGAAATGATCTTGTATATTAGAGGAACGACCTATTATTCCCTAATTCGTAGTATCTTTTTGGTGCTTCTGTGAAGTTTTAGTTTGTGTAGAAGACTTGGAGGTTCTTTTTAACTAGAAAGTCTAAAACATCATGGAATAAAAGATTTCGTGACGTTTGTGCAAAATCATATTCTTTTGTAGATTCTCTACCCTTTTATGTTTTTGATGAATCTGATATACTGCTTATATACTGGAGGCTTTTCTACTGTTAATAAAATTATTTTACCTTATAAAAGGAGTAGCTTAGTCTTTGATCAGATGAAACTATTTGATGCTGCAATATCATCTATTTTGTGTTTATTAGAGAGTTATGGACTGCCCCTTGTAAGTTCGACTCAAAATTGTACCATATTGCTTCTTGGAGATTTGTGATAATAGCCAATCTTTTTTTTTTTTGGGGGGCCGAGCGGACAAGGAATAGATTTTTGTTAAAAATTTGTCAGTCAACCTTGATAAAAGTAGCTATTGCTAATAATTTCTGCGCTTTTATACTATTTTAACCCTATAGGAATTTCTCTATGTACAGGAGGTCAAGGCTTCCTCTGAGTAAACGACTACTACTGTCATTCTTCATTTTAGGATTAACTGGGTGAGTTTTGATGTCCTAAGCATGTATGTTTGGATTTGTTTAGTTAATTTCCTTAGTTTTGTTATACTTGATAAAATACTATTCCTGAAAACTCTTTTTTCCTCTGTTGGTATTGTGACAGTATTTTCGGTAACCAACTGTTGTTCCTTGTTGGACTTGGCTACACAAATCCGACTTACGCTGCTGCGTTGCAACCTGCAATACCAGTCTTTACGTTCATACTTGCTGTACTTATGGGGTCAGTAAACTTTTACTCCCTTCATCTCTGGATTTTGTATCTGTCTCCATCACCCCCGTTTCTTGCATGTCCTGGGTGTTGAGTGAATCTTCTGTTGCTTAACTTTGTGAGCTGTATAAAATCATAGTTCTATCAAGTGTCAAATGTTGTATTCTTAATACCAAAATTGCTTTGTGCTTTAAGTTGGAGCAATCTCAAATACTTTCTTTTGTGCATAGAATGAGAATAATTACAATCAACTGTAGAATCTATATCCTCTAAATTTCTTAATTGAAATATTTTCATTTTTCCAAAACCTATAGTTATTCTCTGTAACTGGGGAATGCTTGAATGGATCTCAAAAGGGTAAACTTTCAGGAAATTTGTTTATGTGGTGCTGTTTTGGAAACATTTGAGGTGAAAGGGTGTTTCTGTTTGCCAAAAAACAACCTAGGTGCTCCTTTATTTATTTTAATAGTGTACCATTTAAACTGTAATTTTATGATCAATGATAGAGTACAGGGTGTAGTTCATTGTCAAGGTAACACCTGAAGTGGATCACAGAGGACATGGTGCTGTTGCAGAATAGTTTAGTGGAAATGAGACGGGCATCTATGATGTGGAGAAACTTTAATGCCTTAATTTAGTTGAGATGCAGGCGGTTTCCCTTGGGGATCTCTCGGTATAAAAAAAGTGGAAATGCAAGGGACGGGCTTTTGAATAAAGTATTCACTGTGAAGTAGTCCATGTTCCCTGCTTTTTAAGTCATCGGTCATTACAGGAAGGAACATGAGCTAGTCCATTGTGCATTTCTAGAATTGTCACATAACTTATCTGTCGCAGTTGTTGACCTGCTCAATATCATTCATATGTGTTATTTATGCAGTACAGAAACTGCGAAGCTTCTTACTATGGAAGGCCAGGCAAAAGTTGGAGGTACCATTGTTTGTGTTTCTGGGGCGATTTTGATGGCTGTATTCCGTGGTACAGCGGTGTTTGGAGACGGCACATCAGACTTCACAGCACAAATTGAGACAAGTGCTAAGGGTCAATCAGAGCCTGCTGGATGGCTAATGTCTAGTTTTCTGGAGTTGGGATTTGATAATTGGCACCTGGGCGTCTTATGCTTAATAGGAAACTGTATGTGCATGGCAGCATACATAGCTTTTCAGGTAACTAGATAATCATTTCAATTGTTAATTCAGATTGGCTTGATTGTAATAAATAGCAGACCGTTCTCAATGATTATACTGAAAAGCTATGCGCATATATAATTTACATATATATCTAGTCATCCCTTAAAAAGTTTTCCCCCGATCTTCCTTGTATATTGGACCTTTCACGATGGACCTCCTTCTTTAATAATATGCTCATGAAGGTGATTTTCACATGCTTTGGGTGAGTGGCCTGTGATGCACTAGCATTTGCAGGCGGGCCTTTGAAATTGTGAAATTGGTATTGAGTGAATTTATACAACTGATTGAAACCTGATAAAAAGGTTTAATGTACTAACAATCTTTGAAAAGAAAAATCTTGCTATGTGAAATACAGATGTAGCTTACCTTGTAAAAAGTATTAAATGTAACTTAATTATGTCTAATACCCCTTCCATCATTTTCTTTCTTGTCTAGGGATTTAATTTTCGCTCTCACGGTTCTTAGGAAAGGCTGGTAATGGTTTGTTGATTCATCTTGATTGTTGATTGGTTTGCTTTTGTACAATCTCAACTATAGTCTAGTGGGTTTATTTCTTTCTTTTTCTATTTTCTTCTTTTGTTGGGGGTGAAGATGACAAAGAGGTTGCTTAAATTTGAATTGCCTTTTAGTATCACTGTTTGCTTACAGGAACAACTCTTATGTCCTAAAATGAAAATGAAACCTATATATCTAGATGGTCTTTCAATAGGAAGTATAATGTCCTTTACCTTTGCCCTTACATTTTATCATTTCATAGAAGATTTAAAATAATGTCCTTTACCCTTTCCTTGTTAAAGGTGATCACGTTCAGTTTCATGATATTCTCTCCTATTTGGTTTCTGCTCTTGTGAACTTTGATCTACCAATTGCTATTCATCTGAAAGAGATCAATTTGCTCATCTTGCCACTTTGTTGGACACCTTTTACTTAATCTTAGACCTGTTAAGTTTTGATTATGTAAAGTAATCCAGATTATATAAATTAATGATCATTTGATAATTGGTTAAGAAAGATTACATTAATGAACAATAGCTAGATACTAATTCCAGTGAACAGAGTTGATGTATTAAAAAAAAACGGATCTTTTTGTGAAATATTCCATAGCCTATAGTCCAAAAACCAAACCTAATACTTATTTTTGTGAAATAATCCATAGAAACAATCTGGTTTTGGTTGGTAGGTTGACTCTAGTCATGATTGGTATAAACAGTTTATTCTATGATGTCTGTGACATTTTAGATCTTGGGCTAGCTTGAAGCGTTGTCTGGAAATCCTTGAGTTTGTCAGTGTATGTGTGTATTACTATGAAATGTATGCAGAGTTGAGTAAGTAAAGAAAATTTTGCAGGCTCCAGTTTTGAGAGAATACCCGGCAAGCTTATCATTGACAGCATATTCTTACCTTTTTGGCGTTATACCAATGATAGGGACGTCATTCCTTATGACCAATGGATCAACAGATTGGTATTTGACACAATCTGAAGTTGGTGCTGTGTGCTATGCTGTAAGATTCTTTTAAGTCCCAATCTTCATTTTCGCTGATGTATGAAATCAGATTGTATTTTGTTATCTTGATCAAAGTATCAAAATGATTTGTCTCACATAAAGAAGAAATCTGAGACAATGATATACCAAAAAATTTAGAAATGTCATACCAGGTATACTTTACTTTTAAATCAACTATTGAGTTTTGGTTGTTGGAATCATAATTAAGTAATCTGTGCTCTCACGAACAACTTAACTTTTTATCTGAGGTGGCCAAATAATTTAACATGGTATTGAAGTAGGATCGATCCCTATAACATGGTCCTTTTTATGTAAGGGAAAATGGTTAAGTTCGCTCTCGAACTATGCAAGATGATCCAGATTTGCCCCTGAACTTTGAAGAATAGGGTCAATGCACTTCATACTTCCTTCCCCTAAGTTGCTATATCAATTTGCAATCATCAATTTATCATATATTAAATTAGCTTTTGAATGTTTCTTAGTGGATTCTCATTCATCTGTCCATAACATCTCATTTCATCTCATATGGTAAGTATATAGATGGACAAAGTTTTTAGTTGGGATGAAATGAAAATAGTTTTCGTTACAATGGTTAATGTCTCTCAGGGAATTATTACATCAGCGCTGAACTATGGACTTACTACTTGGTGCAATAAGGTTCTTGGCCCTGCTTTAGTTTCTTTATACAATCCGCTTCAACCTGCTGCAACAGCAATTTTGTCTAGTATTTTTCTTGGGAGTGCTATTTATCTGGGAAGGTTAGTGCTCTGATTTATTCTGAATGCACATCATACTCCTAAAACAAAATCCACTTTTATATCTGTTTATGTTCTCATTTCTTTGCTTTATACTCGGCATGAGGGTGAAGCGAAGCTCTCCTGCTGGAAAATTGCCATGTTTCCTTTCTGACTTGCTTTCTTTAGGAGATTGGTTCTTGTGAAACTATGAAATATTTCACTTGCTGAGCACATATGATCTTTCTTTTTTACATTCCATCTTCTAGTTATTCGTCGTTAGCTAAGGCATCTCCACCCTTTGTGATTGCAGCATTTTGGGAGGACTTCTCATCATAGCAGGGCTTTATTTAGTAACTTGGGCATCTTACAGAGAGAAACAGGCAGCCATGGGAACTATAATTCATGATCCTCGGATAACGGATCCCTTAATCCCATATCAGATAGGACATAATTCCTCTGTTCCTTCTTCCTCAATGCCAAAGATCAGTGATTAGATATTGCTACAGATATCATTTGCATGTCCTTTTCTTCATCTTTTTCATGAGAATATGTATAGTTCACTGCTAAAAAAATGGTAAATATGTGTTGCAGTTCTATCAATTTTGTTTTTCCCTTTCCCAAATGTTAACTCTTCCTGCAGAAACTTTCTTCTCATGTTCCAGTCTTGTTTCAAAATCAAGTCAAAATGATTATAGAAGGTTGGAACCCTCTCTCTGAAAGTTCTCTTTATGCAATGATAGAATGACTGATATTTAAGGCTAGTTTATCAACTTGACATTTGTGAGATTGCTTGGTCAAATTATAAGATTAACAACACATTTTTTAGATTATGCAATTCAGATAATCTATCTTGATAATATTGATGAGTTTACGTCTTAAGCCTTTAATGATTATTATCATATGTCATTCGGATATAACAACATATTGTTCATGTTCATACTCAAAATGGTCTAAAAGAATCATTTATTAAAGGCATAATACATAAATGCCCTTTAAATTGGCTTCACTTTACATTTATGTCCTCCAATTTTGAGTGTGCACAAATAGGCACTTAAACTTGTATTAAGTTGCATAAGTAGACACATGAGTCCTATGTGACATAATACGCATTGGACACCACGTAGGACACAAATTGTCATGTAGAATGTCACGTAAGACATGTGTGTCTATTTGTTTAATTTTATACAAGTGAAAGTGTTTACTTGTGCATACGCAAAGTTGGATGATATACATGTGATTTGAGGCCAAGTTAAAGGCATATTTATGTATTCTGTCTTTATTAAATACTTTCAATTAGTCGCTAGACCATTGTTTATGAGAATGAAATTTCCCATTTCGATGTGAGAACATGCTATTTTACACCCAACAACACTTGAGTGCAATAGACCAACAAATTATCATAAAGTTTTTCTATCACAGTTGACTTTTTGGTCAGGAGTCAAATATTTTTCATCGTAAACCTTTAAATGTGCGGTATCTGTTTTAATTGCTCCACTACAATGCATGAATAGTGGACTAAAACTGCTCAAGGTTATAGGAACCATTTTTCAGATATGTGGTATATGTTCTCAACTTTTGCAAAATAGTGGACTAAAATTGCTCAAAAGTATATTTTTTGGGGTCATTTTGAATCTACCTTCAAACACGAGATATTTTTGTTATCTTCTCTCATATTTTAGGTAGGATTTTAACCAAATTTTGTCAAAGTTATTTTTGTGAAAGATGAGACAAAATTAAATAATCTTTGTATAACAAAACAAAAAAATAATGACTTTTCGATAATGAACACAAAGTTATTTCAAAAATAACGATATTTCAACGGACATTTATTTATGAAATCATTTTTATTACTTATTATTCTTTTAAAACAACTAATTAGGAATTGATAAACAGCCTGATCAAAGGAGCTTATTTATGCTATAGTTCATAGACTTCTTTTTATATTAAGTTTATTTATTAAAAAAATGTTCCTATTGTTCAAAAAATTTTTTTACTAAAATGACCAAAATTTATTTGGATGACGCGTGAATTGCATTATTGATTTTTTATTTAATTATTTTTATTTAGTACACTTGTTAATAAAATAATATTTTTTTTAATCATTGATTGAACCAACTTAATGTATATCTCAAGTTATATTAGTTTTGTATATTCTTAGTATCATGTTTTAAAAAGTATATTGAGGTATGTATTATTGATATATCAAATTCAGTAGAAAAACTTGAGGTTCATACAAAAAGTTCACTCCTTTTGTCTGATTCTTGTATTCTTTAGTTTTTAAACTTGGTGGACTGTATATATAAGGGGGTGGAATGAGCAAAATGGCAGTAAGAAATGGGGGTGATGTATGGAAAGCCCATGCTGCAATGGCTTTGGTTCAGCTTTTCTATGGTGGTTACCATGTGATTACTAAGGTGGCTCTCAATGTGGGCATCAATGAAATTGTCTTCTGTTTGTATAGAGACCTTATTGCTATATCTATTCTTGCCCCAATCGCTTATTTCCGTGAAAAGTTAGTTCTTTTATCTCTTTACATATATTCCCTTTTTATGTTACATGATTCAGCTACTTTGTAGATAGACAATTGAATTTATGTACGTGTAAAGCATGGATTTTTATGAAATTATTGTTACCATATTTAGACAGTGATAACTTAAAAGCTCCTAGCTGTGTAGGGCTTGTTCTCTTTTTCATTTTTGTGGTCAAACAGTTGGTATATATTTGCAATATTTAAACTACGGAAAATGGTCAAAAATATCTTTGGACTATTTAAAAAGGTTTAAATATATCCTCCATCTACTTATTAGGCTAAAAATACTCCTCGGTCTACCTTTTTGGTCCATTTCTATCCTTAAAACTAACATCCTTTTTTAAAAAAAAATAATTATTATTACGTGGCATTTTCTTATTGGATAAATTAAACCCCAAACCATTTAATTTCTCTCTGCCCACTCCGACCCATTCCAGTGCTCACAACCCAGAACCCAATTAAAAGACCCATGGATATTGATCGCTCATTTTTTCCCTTCAACCCTAATAGCTCTTTCTTCTTCCCTCTTTTTTTTATTTAACAATTTCAACACCAACCTGCCTTATTCACCATTCTACTTTTTGCATTCTGTAAATATGGTTTCTAGAACTTCCTTTCTGCTGATGTTTGTCATATATCGTTACCCTTTTCAGAAAAAAAGTGGGTATAGTAGTGCAAACTGAGGGCCCCGCTGTTTATAGTACGTTTTTGTATTTTCAGTCTATTACAACAAGTTCTTTCAAAAGTTAGTTACAATATTTGGAATCATATGAGCATCACTTACAAATGTAAATTTTATGTTTCTCTATCTATAGGAGGTTGAGGCTTCCTCTGAATACGCGGCTCGTACTGTCATTCTTCCTTCTAGGATTAACTGGGTAAGTTTTGATGTACTAACCTTGTATATTTGGATTTGCTTTGTTAATTTCCGTAGTTTTGTTACACTTAATAAAAGCCTATTGCTGAAAATGCCTTTTTTCTCTCTTGGTACTGAGACAGTATTTTTGGTTGCCAACTATTGTTCCTTATTGGTCTTGGCTTCACAAATCCGACTTATGCTGCTGCTTTGCAACCTGCAATACCAGTCTTTACGTTCATACTTGCTGTACTCATGGGGTCAGTAAACATTCAATCCCTTTCATCTCTCGATTTGGAATCTTTGTCTCCATCACTCCCAGTTCTTGCATGTCCTGGGTGTTGAGTGAATCTTGTGTTGCTTAACTTTGTGAGCTGTGAAAGGTCATAGTTCTATCAAGTATCAAATGCTGTATTTTTAATACCAAATTTGTTTTGTGCTTTAAATTGGAGCAATCAAAAGTACTTTATTGTTGTGCATAGAATGAGAGTAATTGCAATCAATTTGAGAATGTATATCCTCCAAATTGATGCAATACAACCCGAGATAAATCTCAGTAACGATTTTGGTGAAATGGACATTCTAAGGAACAAAATTGCAGAAACACTTCTAGAGAGGGGATAAACAATGACAGATTAAGTCTGAGACAGATAGAAGAGGGAATTCTTCGAATTTCAGAAAAAAATGCTAACTGATATTATTTCAATTTGGTTTCCCCTTTTTTGAAAAATGAAATTACATTGATATCCCAAGACCTTCCATCTAGATTAAAGACCAACTAACTACAGAATTCCCAACCCAATCTCCACCCTACCCCCCAAATCAGCACCTAGGGACGTTTTGATGGCAGAGGGGGGCGGGGCGAGGTAAAACTTAGGGGGGCAGAGAAAGGTTTCTTTTTAGAAAAAGAGGTTTGCATTACGAAGTGATACACAAAAGAGAGATCGAGATGGAGGATAGTTAATCTAGGAGATAAACTTGAAGAAGATGGCAGCTAACACAGGGAAATCTGAGTACATAGCTAACAAAGTATAGAAGGGAGAAGAGAAGAAATATCTTATTTCATCAAATGTGATCAATGTACAATTAGGACTTGTATTTATACACAAATTTGATGAACTACTGCATTGCCCAGTTTTTGAATTAACTGAGCTAACTAAAAGCTGTGAACAGTGTTAACTAACTCTTTTGAAATGCTAACTGCCTAACAGAATTATAACTACTTTTGGGACACTTGATCTACTAACTCATCCAGATTCAATTCCTTAAGCTCTTAATCATGCATCACGAAGTGGGATAGTCCATGTTTTATCCCAATTATACTTTTGAGCTCCCAAACTTTCGTCATCTTAACCTTCCTTGTAGATCTCTTTTCTTTCTTTCTTTTTTGTTTCAGTGATTTTGAGGATGATGTGTTAGAATAAAACCATGTGCTTTGGTATTAGAAGTTTTGAGTTTCCGTGGAATCTAGTTCACAAAAAAAAATTGGTAGTTACATTTCTTGATTAATTGAATTTTTTCATTTCTCAAAAGCTATAATTATATTCTGTAAGGCTGAAACTGGGCAACACTTAAATGGATCCCGAAAGGGTAAATGTTCAGGAAATTGGTTTTATGTGCTGCTGTTTTAAAAATAATTGAAGGGGTGATTCTGTTTGGCAAAAATACTGTGGTGCTCTTTTGTCCTTTAATATTTTTAGCAGTGTGTGAGTTAAAACCGTAATTTTATGATCAATCATAGAGTACATGGTGTTGTTCAATTGTCAAGGTAACACTGAAGTGGACCACAGAGAACATGGTGCTGTTGCAGAATATTTTAGTAAAAATGAGATGGGCATCTATAATGTGAAGAAACTTTTATGCCTTAGTTTAGTTGAAATGCTAGGCTAGATGTGTAGATCCATTACCCACCGAGTTCTAAAACCTGGCTTCATTGACCCTCCGGAATTTCTTGGTATAAAAAAATATTAATGTAAATGCAAGGGAGTAGGGACAGGCTTTTGAAAAGAGTATTTGATGTGGCTTGCTCAACATTATTCATATGTGTTGTTTATGCAGTATGGAAACAGCGAAACTTCTTACTGTGGAAGGTCAGACAAAGGTTGGAGGTACTATTGTTTGTGTTTCTGGGGCAATTTTAATGGCTGTTTTCCGTGGCCCAGTGGTGTTTGGAGACGGCACAGTGGACTTCACAGCACAAATTGAGATAAGTGCTAAGGTTCAACCAGAGCCTACTGGATGGCTATTGTCTAGCTTTCTAGAGTTGGGATTTGATAATTGGCACCTCGGCGTCTTATGTTTAATAGGAAACTGTATGTGCATGGCAGCATACTTTGCTTTTCAGGTAACTAGACAATCATTTCAATTGTTAATTCAGAATGACTTGATTGCAAGAAATAGCAGACTGTTCTCAATGATGAAACTGCAAGGCTATGTAGATATACAAATTATATATATCTATCATTGGCGGTAAAAGTTGGATCCTGATCTTTCATTGTATATAGGACCTATCACGGTGAACTGCCTTCTCTAATAACATGTGAATTAGGGGTAAAAAGAACATAAGGATACTGATTTGAGGCCTTTTACATAGCTAGTCAGAACTTTCTTTCCAGTGTCTCCAGATAGTCTAGTTCTTGAATGGAAATAGGTAGATAGGTGTACTAGTTCGTCTGCAAGTGTCTGCAGTTCACAAACAAACTTGTGGAGTGAACTGTCTGCTTTTCCTTTCAACAAGGTCTGGATCTAGTAGTTGGATCAGTATTATAATTTTTTAAGACTGGTTGTTCTAATTGAAAGTTCTCCTGCTAAAAGCTGATATTCTTTCAAAAGTATATGTAACACCCTCCAAATTTTATGACTCTGTTATATTGGACTAAGGTGAGCTTAACTGGGAACATGGACAGTGGAGATCCATATATCCGACCCCAAGGTTCAGCAGTTTGTAGATTAAGCTTGAAACCGTACTGGGTTTATTATTGAGCTTCACTTTCACTGCCAAGTTTGTGTTAATACATGAAGTTTCCTGGTTATAGTTAGAGTGTGGAAATTATAATGCCCTTTACCCTTTCCTTGTTAAAAATTATCACTTTCAGTTTCACAATAATTTCTCTAGTAATTGTTTTCTGCTCTTGTGAACTTTGATCTATCAATCGTCATTCATCTAAAAGAGATTAATTTGCATCCATCTTGCCACTATGCTGGACACCTTATACTTGATCTTAGGCATGCTAAATTTTGATTCTGTTCTTGTAATCCAGATTATACAAATTTGTGATTGATTGATAAACTGATCAAGAAATATGACTTACTGAATAATAGCTAGAGACTACTTCCAGTTAACAGAATCAATGTATTAAAAGACCGAGTGTTTTTGTGACATAATCCATAGAAACAATCTGGTTTTGGTTGGTAGCGTGACCTTATCAGTCAGGATTGCTAAAACAGTTTCTTCTATCTTGGGCTAGCTTTGAAGAGTTGTCCGGAAAAGAATGAGTTTGTCAGTATATGTGTGTGTATTATTATGAAATGTGTGCAGAGTTGAGTGAATTATGAATTTTTTGCAGGCTCCAGTTTTGGAAAAATACCCAGCAAACTTATCATTGACAGCATATTCATACCTTTTTGGTGTTCTATTAATGATTGGGACGTCATTTTTTGTGACCAATGGATCAACAGGCTGGTATTTGACACAATCTGAACTTGTCGCTGTGTGCTATGCTGTAAGATTCTCTTCAGAACCGATCTTCATTTTCCCTGATCCGTGAAATGAGATTGTGTCTATCTTGATCCCATGCCTCAAAATGATTTGTCTCATGTAAAAGGAAAATCTTAGACAATGATATGCAGAAATTTCAAGATAAGTGTAAAGAGTACAAGATATAATTTGTTTTTGAATGAACTACTGATTTTTTTTAAAATTTCAACGCCTTGTGAGACTTGATTTAGGGGGTGTATTATCATCACAGAAAGGCAATTTTTCTTGTTAGAAAGAACAAACCCCTGAATATTCTGGATATATTGAGCTTTTCTTTTGGCAAGTAAAGAAAAATTTAATTATAGACGATGGTATAAACAACACTAAGATAATGTGAAAACACAAGATTACTTATTGTGAAATTCTCCGATCATTTCTAACATGGAATCTATATCATTTACAAAATTCAGGTTGCACCAAAAAGCAAGCAAAACTACACATCCAGGCTTAAGAATATGACTGTTCTCTATTTGTTTAAAAAATTCTGTTGTTCCTTTCACCCCTGAACTTTGAAGAACAGTGTCAATGATCTTCATATACTTCTCCTAGGTTGCTATTTCAGTTTGCAATCATCAATGCGTCATGAATTAAAGTTAGTTTGTGAATTTTTCATAGTGGATCCTCATTCATCTGTCTATTACATTTCATCCCTACGGTTAGTATGTAAACAGACCAAGTCTTTTTGTTTTCGTCATAATGGTTACTGTCTTTCAGGGAATTGTTGCATCAGCCCTGAACTATGGACTTATGACATGGTGCAATAAGGTTCTTGGCCCTGCTTTAGTTGCTTTATACAGTCCGCTCCAACCAGTAGCGTCAGCAATTTTATCTAGTGTTTTTCTTTGGAGCCCTATTTATCTGGGAAGGTTAGTACTCTGATTTATTTTGAATGCACATCATACTCCTAAAACAAAATTCACTTCTATATCTGTGTATGTTCTCATTTCTTTGCTTTATACTCGACATGAGGGTGAAGCAAAGCTCTCATCTGTTAGAAAATTGCCATGTTTACTTTGTTTTGCTTTCTTCTGGAGATTGGTTCTTGTGAACTTGCTGAGCACATATGATATTCCTTTACATTCCATCTTCTAGTTGTCCGTCATTAGCCTTCATTCTAAGATAATCTCCGCGCTTGGTGATTGCAGCATTTTAGGAGGAGTTCTCATTATAGCAGGGCTTTATTTAGTAACTTGGGCATCTTACAGAGAGAAACAGGCAGCCATGGGAACTATAACTCATGATCCGCGGATAACGGATCCCCTAATCCCATATCAGATAGAACACATTTTCTCTGTTCCTTCTTCCTCAATGCCAAAGACCAGTGATTAGATACTGCTACAAGCATCATTTGCATGTCCATTTCTTCATCTTCTTCATGTTAATATGTATAGTGCAGTTCATTGCTAAGAATAATGTCACTATGTATTGCAGTTTTATCAAGTTCTTTTTCTTAATTAAAGGGAACTCTTCCTGTTCAGAAATAAATATATTTAAATAAACTCTCTCCTCAAATCAAAACATCTTTGATTTTCACAAAAAAATTGTGAAGAATCAATGCAATACTAAGGCCATATTTAATATTCCTTCCGTTCCAATTTGTTTGTCTTGTTTTTTCGTTTTAGTCCGTTTCAAAAGGAATGTCTCCCCTTTTTATTTTTAAGATCACATGATTAAAGAACATTTTGGTACGTTCTATATATGTTTAGTGTTACCCCACATGATGTGAAAGTCTTCTAATTTACTCTTTTAAATTTCGTGATAAGTTAAAATCCGACAAATAAATTGAAACGGGGTCTTAAAATTAAACACCCAAAACGTTATAGTTGGTACTTTGTAGTCATCATTTATATTCCTTTCACAAGATAATCTAAGGTCCTTTTATAGGTATGAAGAGATATCTTCCTGATTAAACAAAACATATTCAATCAAACTCTATAATACTCATGGTCAATTTTTTTTTTCAAAACCAATTAAGATTTACTCTCTTTCTCCCTTATTTTTCTTTCATCTGAAGTTATAAATATTTTTGTTGTACGGTGTCAAGGCATGTTTCTTGTGAGTTACGTTATTGTGTTACATATACGCAATATCACACACACAGAGAAATAGTCATACATCATTTAGAAGCTTAACATCAATTGAGTTCAGACATATATGACTTGAATTTCATAAAATAATGACTAAAATTCAATCGTATATGACTGAACTTCATGCAAAAATGACTAAAGTCTAGTCATATATAACCTGATTTTTAGAAAATGATTAGAGTTCAGTCATATGCTATCATATCACCACCAGCTTCCTCCCACGCATTAATCGCGTATACAATATTAAACCCTGGCACATCAAACCACCTCATTTCCGACTCATCCTTAGCCTTCCACGACTTGACATTTCAGTCGAAGGAAGTTGGTCCACTGGGCAAAGTTATTAGAGAGAACATACTTTGGATCAACAGAAGGTTTCAAAGGATGATTGATGAATGTGTTAACGAAATCGCCCAATGCATTGAAGATATAATTGTGGCTGTTTGTGGCCTTTCTTCAATATTTCAAATTATTGAAAGAATTATTCTACAAAAAATTCAATCAACAAAAGACTAGTAAGGGTCTTATATTCAAAGGACAAAAATTCACCAACATATTATTCATGTTACTTTAATAATAATCGTATATCTGTGTACATTTTATTTGCTTGTCCCTATTAGATATCTATATTGATACTATTTTCAAGATATATATATATCTATAGCTTATTAAGATCACTTTCCCTTACGAAAATCCCATGAAAACCATAAGGCACTCGACGAGGCAATTTAACATTAGCCACAATATCAAGATTAGGTGATGTTGCATCCATGACCAAAAAATTGGATTCCCCTGTCTTCTCATTATGCACGTACAACATTACGTAGCCATCGTCTTCCTCATCTTCCAAATTATTTTTCGCCATGAAAAATGGTTCACCGCAAAAGCAACCTTCTCCAAATATCCTACATGCCACTATGCAATCGCGACGATCAACTTCTGCGATCGATACGTCCAATTTTACGATCCCTGATAACTTAGGTGGAGGGTACCCAATCGTTGCATATACATACCTACACCATCAAAAGTATTATAATATATATAACGTTGTTATATGTAGCATTGTACTGAATATATTATTTAAAAGTACGTACTTGTTTTTCTTCCCAACATAAGTTGGATTTATGACTCCAAAATCAAGATTTCTAGTAGAAATTGGATGTCTACTCACCACCCCACTATTCAAATTAATTTTCACTTTCTCAACACATCCATGTATCATATCCATCCTCTCTAGTGTATGCTCCACCGATAATATATTCGGGGCAACCAATACTATCGTATCGCCTCCATCCTCTTCCCACGCGTTAATCGCGTGTAAATTATTAAACCCTGGCACATCAAACCACCTCATTTCCGACTCATCCTTAGCCTTCCACGACTTGACATTTCAGTCGAAGGAAGTTGGTCCACTGGGCAAAGTTATTAGAGAGAACATACTTTGGATCAACAGAAGGTTTCAAAGGATGATTGATGAATGTGTTAACGAAATCGCCCAATGCATTGAAGATATAATTGTGGCTGTTTGTGGCCTTTCTTCAATATTTCAAATTATTGAAAGAATTATTCTACAAAAAATTCAATCAACAAAAGACTAGTAAGGGTCTTATATTCAAAGGACAAAAATTCACCAACATATTATTCATGTTACTTTAATAATAATCGTATATCTGTGTACATTTTATTTGCTTGTCCCTATTAGATATCTATATTGATACTATTTTCAAGATATATATATATCTATAGCTTATTAAGATCACTTTCCCTTACGAAAATCCCATGAAAACCATAAGGCACTCGACGAGGCAATTTAACATTAGCCACAATATCAAGATTAGGTGATGTTGCATCCATGACCAAAAAATTGGATTCCCCTGTCTTCTCATTATGCACGTACAACATTACGTAGCCATCGTCTTCCTCATCTTCCAAATTATTTTTCGCCATGAAAAATGGTTCACCGCAAAAGCAACCTTCTCCAAATATCCTACATGCCACTATGCAATCGCGACGATCAACTTCTGCGATCGATACGTCCAATTTTACGATCCCTGATAACTTAGGTGGAGGGTACCCAATCGTTGCATATACATACCTACACCATCAAAAGTATTATAATATATATAACGTTGTTATATGTAGCATTGTACTGAATATATTATTTAAAAGTACGTACTTGTTTTTCTTCCCAACATAAGTTGGATTTATGACTCCAAAATCAAGATTTCTAGTAGAAATTGGATGTCTACTCACCACCCCACTATTCAAATTAATTTTCACTTTCTCAACACATCCATGTATCATATCCATCCTCTCTAGTGTATGCTCCACCGATAATATATTCGGGGCAACCAATACTATCGTATCGCCTCCATCCTCTTCCCACGCGTTAATCGCGTGTAAATTATTAAACCCTGGCACATCAAACCACCTCATTTCCGACTCATCCTTAGCATAATGTGGAATCACCCCAAGTCGGGAGATTTTCCTCGAGTTCATACCCACCAGTGAACCACCGGTGAGTATGAACTTAATCGGGTTCATTCCTATTTGTATGTCTGAAAATATCGCGTATTTTTTTGTGATTTGCAATGTCATGGAACAATGTTGGACGTTTAATTGAAAATATCGGTACGTCTGCGGTTTTTATACCATTCGGGTCGACCCGAAAGTAAGTTAAAAACGGAGGAAACGGACCGTAACGATAAGCAAAAGCCTCGTTAGTTTCGGGGTCGATTTTCGGATGAGCTGTCATGCTCTTGACAAGTTTTCCGTTAAAATTATGACGGCTAAGGGTAATAATATCACCATCTAAGGCTATTTTTACTGCATATGGTAAATCAGATTCACCAAGGGCGAAAAGTTTACCCCCGAATAAAGCTAAGCTTGTATTCGCAAGGCCTATACCGTTTGCGGGATTGAACTGTCCCGCAATCAGTCGGGCCAAGGTGATAGCACCACGTGTGACCGAGGGGAGAAGACCGTTGAAATCGGAAAAAACATTAGGGATAATTTGAAAACCAGTTTCATTTTCGATGTTGTACTTGTAAGTTTTGACAAATCGACTACAAAACGTATCTTTACCTTGGGAAATTTTAATAGAGTGAAGCATTCCATCACCGTCGAAAAGATGGTAAGGTCCACGTGGAAGATTTTGAGGGTTGGGTCCATTTCTAATATACGCGCCGTCTAGGCAAGAGGGAAGGGAGCCTTCCACTACTTTGCATTCAGTAGGTGGAAGCTCATCCACTGGAGCGAAATTGTTAGAGAGTACATACTTTGGATCAACACAGGATTTTCTAGGAGGATCGATGTAAGTATTCACAAAATCATCAAATGTATTGAAGATATTGGAAGGAAATGATGGTTTTCTTGAGGATATTGGTTGTCTTTTTGGTGGTGAAGGGATTGGCTCTTCACCGCCAATGGAGAAGACTTTTAGAGTAAAAGAAGAAGATGTGTTGGGAGAATAATAATAATAATTATTATTATTAAAAGAAAGAAGAGATTTAGGGTGTTGTGATAATGTAGAAAGGGAAGTTGAAGAGAGAGCATCCATTGTGTTTCTTCTTGAACAAATTAAAACAAGAAAAGCAAAGATTATTTGAAACTAAAGAGTGAAGGTTGAAAATATATGTGTTTGCATGATCTAATTTATAGAGTAAAGAAGTGAGGTGTAAGGCAAAGGAAAGGGACAATTCATTTAAGGAATGCCACAATATTTTTGATGTGATATATACAATGAAAATGAAAAGAGGAAGGTTACTAGTTACGTATTAATTTGATCGAATCTAATAACTTTAGTGAAAATCATGTATTTAGATTAACAAATCCATAGAATACGTTAAAAGAAAACGATCATTTAATAGTTACATCCACCAAATATTAGGCAAGAAAAGATCACCATATATTTCACTTTATGACTTTCTTTGTCTTATTTGTGTTTTCTCTTACCTTTTTCTTCTTTCTTTCGGTTTTTTTGATATACTAAATTTTCATTAGTATTGTTCCGTTAAGAAGTCTCTATATCGGTAGAGAGATGAAAAATTATTCTTATATGGACTTGGATAAATCTCTCCAGCGAGCTAGTATTTTAGGTTGAGTTAAGTTTAGGTGTCATATCTTTACAATAATTACTCCCTTAATAATTTTTTTTGTTTTTTTGTTTGGAGCATTATTTCCGAAACTATTTTCTAATTTTTTGGTTTAATAAATTTTAAATATATAACACAAATACTTTATGTAATATTGCCTGCTTATACATTGGCCTGCTTTGATTTTATTTTTTTGAATTAAAATAGAAATAAAATATGCATACAATACTCTACTTTTTCTAAACTCCACTTATAAAATTAGGTTTTCCTATATATATTTGTAACTAATTATGTATAGAGAAATAACTTAGGTGTCTTGACAAAACCATAGCTCAATATTGTTCGACAAAATGATAATTACACACAAGATAATGTCCAGACTAATTAGCAATAACAAGAGAGTAACAATGACACCAAATATTAAAATGGGTAAATATAATATCCGAGTAAGTAATACAATAATATTGATAAAAACTTGATAGTGTCAAAAGACTACTTCTTTTTTATTTCTCAAAACCACAAACTCCACCAAAACTCTATCAAAATTTGTCTACCAACTTCCACAAATGTGGCTGCTACCTTTCACATTTGTGACTGTCAACTTTCGCATTTGTGGCTATTGATTTCCACAAGTGTGTTTGCCAAAGTTGCTGTCAAGCTTTATTCCTACAAATCTCTCCCTTAATTTTCATTTTTTCTTCTTTACACTAAGGCTTGATCTCAATTTCTGAAAATCTTCAAACTTAAGAGGCTTTGTAAAGATATCCGCAACTTGATCATGAGATTTCAAATACTTAAGCTCTACCTCTTTCTTGGCAATGCATTCTCAGATAAAGTGATACCTTGTGTCTGGGGTGTTTGTGGTTCGGTTTGGATCGGTTATTGGTTAAAACTAAAACCAAAATCTAGTTGTTGTTTTTTTAATTTCTAAAACCAAACGAAAAAAATAACCGTCGATTTGGTTATTTTCGGTTTGGTTCAGTTTTTCTGATTTTTTCGGTTTGAAAAGTAATAAAATTTTAGAAGACATACGTATTTCGATAGATACAAACACATAGTACATGAACAATCCACATGAAAGCTATTGTCGGTTCAATTAATCAATACTAGAATTATTATTACACGAACAAAGTGATTCAATTAAGTGAATGTGTGACTATCTTACGTGAGATAGGGTAGGTAAAGACTAAAGCAATGAATTTTGATGGACTTGGACTTAGGATTGTAATATTTGGGCTAAAAATATAAGTATTGGGCTTGAGAAAATGGTAAAGTTAAAGGTTTTTGTTAGGGAAAATGCATAAGTACCCCCTCAGTCTATGCCCAAAATCCCTGAGACACACCTAACATTAACTAAAGTCCTATTACCCCACCCCCGAACTTATTTTATATATAATTTTCTACCCCTTTTCGGCCTACGTAGTACTATCTTGTGGGTCCAGTGCGTGTTGACAAGGATAGTGTCACATAGGCCGAAAAGGGGTAGAAAATTAATTAAAAAATAAGTTCGGGGGGGGGGGGGGGGGTAATAGGACCTTAGTAAAGGTTAGGTGTGTCTCAGGAATTTTGGGCATAGGCTGGGGGGGTACTTATGCATTTTTCCGTTTTCGTTAATTAAAATTTAACAAAATATTTGTTTTTATTTATGAATAATATATAAATAATTATAAATTTTATATATCTAATTTATCAGTTTGGTTTGGTTGTTTTTTAGTAAAACCAAACCAAATAGCATCGGTTTTCAAAATTTAAAACCAAACCAAACCAAGTATCGGTTTTTTATCGGTTTGGTTTATATTGCGCTTCAGTTTGATTTTTTAACCATAACCATGAACAACCCTACTTGTGTCTATGTGCTTGCTCCAATCATGATACACTGAATTCTTGGCAAGTGTTTGTGCAAATTTATTATCAACACAAATCATTGTGGCTTCAATTTGCGGAAAATTGAGTTCCTTGAATAATCTCCTAAATCAAATAGCATGACACGTACATGATGTCGTTGTCATGTATTCAGCTTCACAAGTCGAGAGAGTAACAATTGATTGTTTATTTGAACTCTAAGAAATAACACAATCACCCAAGAAAAACACAAAATCATATATATATGTTTTTTCTATCATCAACATCTCCCGCATAATCACTATCACAAATCCCACAAGATTAAAATCATCAGAAGAAGAATAAAATAGCACAAGGTCAATTGTACATTTTAGATAACGAAGAATTCTTTTAGCGACCTTCAAGTGAGTGGAAGTAG